AAGTTTAACACAACAGCAAATGTACAACGTTTCAACAAAGTTTTGTCCTCATCACCTAACAATGACAAAACTTTGTTGAAACGTTGTACATTTGCTGTTGTGTTAAACTTATATTAAAGTTTTTCTTCATTACCCATTCAAGCCATCTCCAACCATTATCAATACTATCAGTTCCATTAACAATCATAAACACTTCAATCAGATTCCCTCTTAACCCTTCTTTTTTTCAGGAGAAAATTTCAGAGAACTTAATCTATCCTTGTATAACAACCTTTCCATCTCGGGTATCATCCTAGCAGCCTTTCTCTAAACGTTTTCCAACAATTCAGTATCCTCTTTAAAGTAAGGAAGTTAAAACTGAACACAGTACTTCAGATGTGGCCTGACCAATGAACTATACAATAACATTATAATCTCTATAGTTACAACCTAAAATCTGGTTTGCCCAAACACTATCAACAGCACATTGTTTGGATGCCTAAGAGACTTTTTCCTTCATAGTAGTGTTAATATTATTCCCATCAGAATTATACTCATAATTCCAACTGTGATATCCCATAAGCAATATCTTGCATTTATTTTAAATAAAAGCCATCTATCATTTATTTGTCTAACACACCAAATACTTCAAATTATTTTGTAATGCAATAGCATTCTCCTCACAGCCAGCAACATCCAAAACTAATATCATCAGCAAATTTAAGTAATGTTTTGGCCATTCCTAGTTTGTCACTGATGTAAATAAATAAAAAAAAGAGCAAAGGCCTTAACATTGAGCCTTGAGGTACTCCACTTATAACAACTCTGGTTTCTTCAATCCATTCAAATTTTTATCGAATGAGCCATCCTATACCCCACACCTCTAAAGATAAATTATTTAAATATGCTGATTATATTGTAGTTGTGGGTGTTGCTGGTTATGAGGAGGATGCTACTGCTGTACAAAAGGGTCTGGATTATTTTGTGAGTTGGGCAAATAAATGTCAGATGGGTTTTTATTACAATAAAAACAAAGTACTGCTTGTGGGATATCACAGTTTGATTATGTGTACACTTGCCCCCCATGGAAAATGAGAAACATAATTCTTTGTTTTCTCATTCAGCATATTTATATGAATTTTTTTATTCAATTTCACACTACTTTGCCTTCCACTCCCTGGAAAAATTTCTAGTGGAGACCCATGAATCTACTACCTGTATATTCAAAAACTACAAAATTAAGCATAAATTTAAAAAAAAACTTGCAAGTTTGTTATAGGTTCTCTTTGAATGTATTTAGTCAACAATAAATTAGCTGTATTAAAAATATTTGAGTACAGTATGTATACATGATACAGTATGTATGTTAGTCTTATAATCTAATGCATGTGAGAAAAGGTCTGAACAAAAAATAAAGTAGTGTTCATGGTTGTTTGCTTTAGATTATTTCCACTGTTCCAAATGAACTATCTTTGCATGAAAGAAATGTATATAAACAAGTAAGGAACCTTGATAGTGTGCTGCAGTTTTGTAACTATCCCTTCCCATGTATAATATGAATGGGATGCCATTTCAATATTATACTTTATTTGCTGACAATGAAATAGAAAAAAAAAAAACATTACTGAAGAAGTCGTTGAAATCTAATGATGACAGTTTAAATGCAACAAATTAAAATATTAAAAACATTAAATGAAAGTAAGATAAAATGCTTTCTCATACAAATATATAATAAGTGAACTAAATAATACAAATTAAATTTTAAACATTGCTTACACAATGATTTAAACTTCAAAAGTAAGCAATACATCCGGATGTGTGACTTGCTTTGGCTCAACAGTAAATCTGAGGGCTAATAATGCTAAACATTGGATTTTGATACCTTTAATGGGCAGAGCACAGATAGCCCATTGTGTAGCTTTGCTCTTAATAACAGACTTATTGTGACTTGAAAAGTAGGAAACACAGCAGTGTAGATGACTTACTGTGACTACATTGCTACTTCTGAATGCATTTGTAGTAAAATACTTAGGTATTAGCCTGTAAACAGTACAGATTCTTTAATATGAGCACTAAGATACTTTGCTCATCATGTTTATTAAACTATATGGCAATATAAAAGTAGACAAATTTATACACCATTTTCTAAGAAATGATCTTCAGCAAAAACAACTTTATTTTTCTAACAAGGTGGTTGGCCTTTGGAATGGGTTGCCTTTGGATGCAGTTAATTCAAGAGAGGTTAATGGAAAGCTTGATAAATATTTGAATGATGAGGGCTAGCTTTGAAGTGTTTTGTTCTTTTAAGGGTTTAATTTAATGGTTAGGACAGCCTAGGTGGACCAATAGGTCTCTTGTTGTCATTTTACGTTATTGGTAGCTGCCTTATCCAACAAGTTCAGAGTCACACCAGAAGTATCCAAAATATAGTTCTGGAATAGGGTGCAAAGGAAAGAAGACCTCTTAAGTAAACTTACATAAGGTTTGGATATGCTTGTTCAATTATCATACCCAGATGCTCCCTGTGAAATAATGGATTCATTGGCACATAACCAATTTATAGACACCATAACATCTGAGGATCAGACTGAAGCAAAATAGATGTATGCCCTTAACTGAATATGCATAGGGTCATTCCATTGAACCATCCTCATATTGGAGAAGAAATGTTGACTAACTCTGAATTTATGTATCTACACAAAATGTGGCAAACTTTTAGAAAAAATGTGCAAGCCTGTTGTGCATAAAAATCAGATATATTTCAAAAGTATTTGTACTCAAGACATGCCTGTGAATTGACAATGTCAGCCTCATTCAGACTGACAATTTAGAGTGCAAGGTGATGATCATGTGATAATAAAAATACTTTTGTCTGTCGTACAGTTTGCGTATTGCATTTACACAACCTCAAGAACTTCTAAGATACATATCTACAATTATTTTCACTACCCTGTTATATTCTATCTGGTATTTATTCTTCCATACCATGGACTGTTGCTAAATCAGCAGTACAGGGTAAATAAATAGGTGATAACTCTGACATCATGTACATAATACCATGTTGAATGGCATTCTGTAAAAGGTCATGGCATGCATGCTTTGACTCTGATCTCTGCACATAGGGTTAAAGGAATCTCTATAGTTATAATTTTGAGAAACCTGGCCATTATGGCTGAGACTGTAAGGAATCAGTGGCTGTTATTAAATCAAAGAAATGGAGCCTAACCATATCAAAGGAACAATACAGAGCTAATGAAACATCAATAAAATGGGAATTAGTTGGATTTATCTGTTGAAGCTCAACTGGAAATAATCCATCTACCATGAATGAGAAAAGAAGTTCATTATTTATAAAACATCATCCGTGACTCCACAGCTTATTGATGTAAAAACCTTGAAATATGCCGATTAACACTGATTCTATAGCTACAGTTGTTCAATCTGTTTTGTTAATGAAAGATGAGATATTGTCTCCAAAGATGATGAAAGAAGAGGGATTGATGCAAACAGCACGTGGATATAAAGAAAGCTTCTCTGTGTCTCGTGATGTTTGGACAATTTTTATCGGAAAAGAGTGCATTTTGGGAACTGACTTCATGCAGAGACATGGGTACTAGGTCAGGCTAGCTTCAGATCTATGAGATTGAATGTCCAGTGTAAACAGGGATGGAAGTTATTGTACCATCAAGAAGTTAGGCACTTATTTTAGGAGTTAATAGAAATAATTATTCATCTAGTGACTGTGGTGTAGTGGAACCAAATGTCATGAGGGACTGGTGGTTGGAATACTTCTATGGAATGTGAAGAATATAGATTTCCTACATGATTTTATCCAGAAAAGACTTAAATCAGCTTGTGATGAAAAGAAAGATAGCTATGATGTAAATGCCAATATGATTGGATTCC